ATCGTTGATAATCCCTTTTGATTGAAAGTAAGGTGATAAAATCTGATTGAAATACTCTCTAGCATTGTATGTCGTAACGCTTTTTTATTTTGACCCCAATTTAATTTTGAACCATCGAATGAAAATTAAGTATTAACAATGCTAACATCATATTGTTGGTTAAGAAAAAAGATCCATGTAACTCAAGTGCAATCATCAATTAAGGACACAAACCAATGAGCCCCAAAATCATTAGGTATAATGGAAGGAATCCATATATCACAATGAAGCAAATGAAAAGCATGAGAACTTTTATTGCTAATAGGAAAAAATGCACAAGTATGTTTTGCCGATTCACAAATGTTAAAATGAAATTCAGAAATATCTTATCCTTAGAACAAATGAGGAAACATTATTTTTAAAACCCTAAACGAGGGATGACCAAGACGTAGGTGATGTAGCCAATGACATCTTTATTCAAGGAACTAACGAAAGAAGAAGACAAGTTACTCTTGTGTTTTTTAGATGGTTCGAGGTGGTAAAGACCATTCCATTCCTTAGCAAGTCCAACCCTCCTCCTGGCCCTAAAAAACACAATAAGAAAAGCAAAAAAATAACATAGCATTTGAGACCATGAGTTAACTTTTGAATGGACATAAGGCTCGTTGACACTTTGAGTACATAGAGAACGTTTTTAAGGATAAGCCTATCATATGAATATCTCCAATCCTGCAACAGTAGCTAAAGAGCCATTGGCCACGACAATTTTTGTATTACTTGGACATGGGGTATTGGTGTGGAAAAGTTGAGATGTGGAGATCATATGGTCTGTAGCACCGAAGTCTATGATCCAAAAGTTGGTATAGAATTTGTCTAAGACATTAATGCAAACAGGTTTACCTGAAAGCGCCATTGAACATGCTCCAGAAGGCTTCTCAAGTGACCCCAACAAAATTCTCAACGTCTCAATTTCTTCATCGTTGAAACCCCCTATTGTTGGATTTCCTGCTCTGCCATATGCGCTTGAGGCCTTTGTTGCTGGCCCCACGGTTGCCCCATTCTCGGCTTGATGGTTTACCATTCAACTTCCAAGACTTCTCCCTTGTACACCTAGGTTTCTTGCAATAACTACAACATTGATTTTATTCTCCTTCCCTTGGTTATCTCTACCCGGCAGATCATTCTTGGACAACTCCTGATTTGTTTTTGCTGCCAAGGCTGACCCGTCCATAATATTTGTAATAGCCCGTAAAATAATCGCCGGAAGTTTGCCGGAGTCGGACAAATTTCATTTTGGGCATAATTTATTTTGGTCTTTTAGTGTAATAAATTAAAGAGTTGGGTTTAAAATAGAAGTAAAGATTGAGTTTAGGCCAAAGTAGTATAAAATAATTAATAAATGGCTAAGTATTTTATGTTTAATAAAAGAATAAAATAAAATAAAATTAAAAAAAAAAAAAAAAGGAACAGCAGCAGCAGCCATCACGCACGCCGCCGCCAGCCCTTCTTCTTCTTGGAGTTCTTCTTCTCCAAAATTCTTCTTTTTGGTCTATTCTGTTGAGGTAAGTGAGATTAATCTTAGATAGATGATATATTCTAATCCTAGACCCTTCTATTGATATTTTTCAAAATTATTGTCAAATGGGTTTGCCTTAAAAGTGTTAGGTTTTGTCAATTTTTTCTGGAAAGTTGATTATAATGTCATCTAAGGCTTATGTGAAGATTATTATTTGATTTTAAATTGAAAATCGTAGAATTTATGGGATGAGTTTGAAACCCTAGTTTTGCCCTAACCTAGTTAGGGTTTTTGGAAAAAGATTTACGATTATATTTAAATATTATGATTTTTGGAGTTAAACCATGTCTATTGTGATTGACATATTTTTCGAATATTTATTTGGCAAAATAAAGTGAGATTATAACGAACTTGTTGGGTCTAATATCCTACTTTTGCATGGTTAAATGTTGACAATTGGAATATTTTGAGTTTAAAACACTCTTTTTGAAATTTGCCTAAGAGCATGTTGAGTATTTGGTCAAATTGGTAATTGAAACTACCGTCGAGTCCGATCAGCTCGTCAATTGTTTGGATGATAAGGCATAGCCTTCCACCTCTGTGCCTTGCAAACACGTGAGGGTATACCGGTATTTTAGGATAACTAGCTAACCTTGAACTAGATCCCGAATGGGCTAGGTCGAGGGATCGAGATGGCGGATTCCCTTTTTGGGTGATTCCGAGGTGCACGTCATTCACGATGAAAAGGTCTTTAGACCGTCATCTGTGATGGAGGGATGGATTGCATACAATCCCCTCTTGGTATGTTATATTGGAGACTAGAGGGTTGTGGGCCGTATGGCGCCCCTCGCAAACTAATAATAAATTGATTTACGTATACTTTGGGTTTCGAACCCTTATGCACACATTGTGGAGTTTTCTTTGAGGGTTGTGACCCTATGTTTGTTATGTGAAACTATGTGACGTGTCATACGAAGTAATAAGGTTGGAAAACCGGGTCGAGTCGGCCCTGATTAAGGCCTAGTGGAGTTTTCTTCGTAATGTGCTCATCACTATTATTTGAGAATGAAAAAGAGATATAAAGGAGACGCTAAAAGACTAATGTGTGTGATCATGCTTCCGTCATACCTAAATGATGCATTCACGTCATATGATCCATTGGGGGAATTAAAACTACTTTACCTTCTAAGAAGCTTTTGAAAGTCATTAATCATGTTTAAAGACTAATGTCTTTTGAACTATTTCCAATTTATGCTTTTGAATTGAACTTTATTTACTTAATTGATAAACCGGTGTGCTTTAATTCTAAGTCCCTATTAGTTATTGGTATTTATTATTTTAGCCTTAGCGCCACAGCATAGGACTTGTTGGTTGATGAACGAGCCTTCCGGTGTGGCGTGGCGATGACGCTCCGGTTTGAGCCTGCCGGGGTGTTACAATATGTGGCTCTAGCATAACACTCCTATGACTTTCTTCTACTCAGATTAATGAGATTGTCTCTTCTACAGTCAGTGTATCTTCCTTGCCGAGGATTTAGATCCTAACCTGATCAAATTCAGAATTCAATCCGGTCAAAAAATCATATTTCCGATCCTTCTCAATGAACTACTTCAAAGTGGCAGCATCATATTTGTCTCCTTGCTTGGTGGCTCCGGTTTTTTCTTTGATTTCATTCACAAAGGCAGCATCACAGCCCTCCAACTATGTGCGGTTGATATTGTCCCAAATTTCCTGTGCAGCATTTAAGAACATGAAAGTGTCACTGATCGTTGGGTCCATGGAATCCCATAGCCAGGACATAATCATGGAATCCTCTTCATCCCATGCTTCAAATGCTGGATCCTTTCCTTTCTGGTCCGGTTCCAAGGAGGTGATTAAGCCTCCATTTGCCCTTTTGGTATGTGCGGACAATTTAGGACCATTTGAGATAGTTCTCCCTATTGAACCTATTGGATGCCCGGATATTATGCAATTCTCCAATTTTCTGAACAGAATTCGATTCTTGGGAACGGATGGAATTGTTGGAGACGGTGGTTTCAAACATTGACTTGGTAAAGAAGAGAAACTCAAAGTAATTAAAATTGGAATAGAAACACGGCAATGAAGGTTGCTTGAAGACGAAACCCTAGAAAAAATTCCTAGAGCTCTAATACCATGTGGGAAATCAGAGATGAGAGAAAGAAGATTATGTATTTCCACATTGCTTTGAATTGATAATACACGGTGTTATATAGGAGATTGAGATTGCAAAGAGGAAAAAAGTAAACTAACTAACTAATTTGATTCTCCTAACATAAGCTATTTACAGCTCAGCTACTCCTTCACAGATAGTTTAAGGTTATTACCTTTCCGAGCATGTACTTTCAAGGGATATTCTCAAGAGATACCAAGGTGGTTTGATAACAAGAATGTCTATTAGATATAATACTATAGGTATAACATAAGTAGAAACAATGACATTACTGCCACTTTTGTCGAAAAATGACATGATGGCTGAAAACAGAAGAGGCTTAAGGGAAATGGTGGAAAGGGAAGAACAAAAATAAAGTGGTGAAGAGGGAAAGCATAAGGTGATTGATTCAAGTTGAAGAAAATATGAAAGAAATGAAGATTGATTGTAGGAAATTTTAGGCTGTAAATAGTAGGGAAAATGAGAAGAATCATTTAGAGCTTTTCATTCTCGACAAAACAAAGAAGGTGATTAGCACACAAAACATCTGGTTGAAAAATGAAAAGAGGGGGATGGAAGAAAAGACAGAGACAACAATATCAAGCAAAGGAACCAGCAAGGGTTCTGTTTATTTTAATTTCATAGTCTAAACCTACATTTTTAACTCTTTTAGAGTAAAATTGAAGTCGAAAACATGTCATGAAGACTCTGCAAGAAATTGTTCACTAGACCAAAAGCTGAATAATATCCTGCTGAGCAGTCTATGCACAGAGACAGTTTAGTTGACCTCAAACTGTACAGTCTTTAGGGGTCCTGCTCCATCCCAAACCACCACACCGCACTGTGCTGCAACCACCACTAACTCAATAAAGCACCACATTCCTTCAGCACATTATTAGCTAGTACTCTTAAATAAAATCTCGGTACTTAAGCCTTAAAGTGCGGGACTTCTATTTTACTTACTCAACCCCATCATGTTATCTCAAATTATCAGATGCGGATGTATTGTATCAGCATGGTGCATACTAGGGGATACTAAAGAGGATTAGTAGATAATTTTGCAGTTTTAAAACGAAATTCCCATAAACCAAATGTTTACAAAATGAGCAAAGTGCAAACAAACTCCATAGTAAGCCTAAGGTTTTATAGTTGCAATTTAACAAAGATCTTTTATGACTAGAAAAGTCTTCCAGTTGACTTTGAGACATAAATTGAATGAGCTTAGTTAAACTAAAATATACTATTCTAAGGGAGAATGGAAAATTTGAGAACCTGTACAAACTTTCTAGGTTACTAGGCATCTATAGCTGTAAAAAGAAGAGGGAGAATCATAACCTTGATGCTGCAAGGGCATGTCCAAACTCATGAACCATTACACTTATGACAGTGGATATGCACACGTATCCAATACTGGAAGGTGAGATGTTGAGCCCTGCATTCTGCAGAAGTATAAGACTTTCATAGCTGTCAAGAAGTAGAAGTGTAATTCACAAACTAGATACATCTTAAACATAGCCACTTGCAATCTTCAGTGAGTTATAACGTACGAGCAGGTAAATCTAAACAAGTAGATATAAATTTTATGTAAGTCTAAAATCAACAACCACAGCAGCAGACATATTAAAAGGAAACTAATAATTAAGAGGTTCAATAGTCTCAAAACATAATCACTCAATACTCACTAGATGTTGTAACATGTACCACATGTAATTTAAGGCAATAATTTACCGAAGAGAAATGACTGATTCATCTGGCATCGGATGCAAATACTATAAATATGGTTATTAAGTGGAGGATACACAAACAGCAAAAGATCATCGAACTATGGATCAGCAAAGATGAGAGGAGAGGATGGAATACTGACCAAAAAGGAGAGCCATCTTAAGGAGCTATCAGGTTGCACATATCCCATATGAACAAGTGCCGCTTGGACCAATTGACAAAGAACAAACTAACAACAGCGAACAATGAAAAAAATATCACCAACCATCATTCAGGAAAAAATTATCTGCGTTGTGTATATACAAATAACAATGCTGATAAACAACTGACCACCATCAGTCCAACCACGGCAGACAAACTGAACCCTACCCCCATGGAAAACCAACCTCTCAAGTACCTTCAAGAAAATCCAAGTAATAACAATAGGAACAAGTTTAAACACTCTCCATCCTCGTCTGTCTTAAAACAAGATGATACGAGAAACCAAACAAGAAGGAAAGCACACTGACCTAGCATGCTTGCGACCAAAACGAAACAACGGTTCATTGAGGGCCAAAAACTTGCAATCGCAATACCTACGAGAATCGTGATTGCATTTATGGATATTTCAATGCCAAATTATGAATTTTTTACACATGGGAAACATTTATGGAAGCAATTTATAGTGCAACGAACCAGCAAGAGACAGTGTTAGACAATTGTCTGGTGCGGCGCAGGGGCAGAAGCGTCTGAGGGCTCCATCGTCTTCTCCCACGCCTGCCAGCCATGATCCCGAGCGTAACCAAGGGTTAGAGCCTGAAATTTAAACAAACAAGAACCCTCTCCCGCTCCATCCCCTTCCCCAACCGGAAGACGGTAAGATGGTTTAACGAGACCGTTTAGTGTGCCAATCCCTATGTTGTGTGGAGCTTTGGTTTAGGTTTTGAATATTTGTGTGACGTTGTAAACGATATTAATAAAATTAATTTTTAATATTATATAAAAAATATTTGATTAAATCATTTTAGGAGTAAAAATTTGAATAAATAATAAAATTGAAGACAAAATTCTCCCCTGGCTATAAAAGAAAATCACATATTTTTATTAGTTTGTCAATATTGAGTTGGTCTGACTTAGATGATATAAGGCTTAATATATTGTTTTTATATTAATAAATAATTTAACTCATAATTAAAAAAAAGGGAAACTTGGTCGGCAATCCATGTCATGTCAGTAGTGTAGAATTTACATTCAGTCTCTATTATTAAAAAGTTGATCTGCACTCCCTCTTTTTCACTATTGATTTAAATTTAATTCCTATTTTTTTATTTTTTTATTAAATAGTATAATATAAATATGATGTACCTTTAAAATATATTTAAATACTTTTAACATTTTTTTATATACTTATAGCACATTTCGCCCTATCTATACTAAGTCTCGCTCTACCTAAATTGTTCTACTGATATACCTTTATTTATTTTTTGTGTACTTTTGTATGTGTATTTAAAAATAATAATAATAAATAATTATAATTACGTTTTATTATGGAATGAAACAAAAAAAAACAACTACATACTTCTCATATCTCAAAGAAAATCTTATGTCCGTCATTCTCGTTCATGTACCATAATATATTGAAATTTTTCCTCCTTCATGCAATCGATCGCTCTTATTTCCCCTCAAATTTATTCATATTCATTGAGATTTTTAAATTTGCACTAACATTATTGTATTATCGAAATCTAATTGTAAAATAAAATATACATAATGTAAAAATTACAATGTGACTAATTTATTGAAATACAATCCAAAATTGGTACGTAGAATTTAAATAAAATCATGATATGTATATATATATATGTATATATATATTCATTCAATCAATATAAGTTACAAATTTATATTTTAAAAAAAATTGCAATAGAAAATTAAATATATAGATTTTAAATACAACAATGATTATATATGTAGACACTAAAAATATATGTCTAAAATCAATTAGATATCATATATTTTGGAAGAAAATAAAATTCCAATAAAATAAATATATGATATTTAATTATGCATATATGTTAATTTTTGTACAATAAATATCAACCATTAATGCAAAAATCTGCTTAAAATGGAAGATATCGTACAAATATTACGTGCATAAATAGAGCCATAATAAATTTGGCAGCAAAATAAATTAATCTTGTCAATAAAGGAAGTATATAAATTAATATATTCCAAACAAGGCAATGATATAAAGATCTTGTCAATAAATGAAGTATATAAATTAATATCTTCCAAAAAAGACAATGATATAAAGATTTTGGCGAGAAAGGAATGTGCATAATTAAATCCGTCAAAAATGAAAAACGGCATCCGATGGAAAAGGAAATATTATAAAATATTTCCATCCACGTGGCACCATCCGAAAAGGAAGCCAAGGCCACCCTCCCTATAAATAGGAGCCTTGGCCAATTCATTTATATATCGAAGTTCATTTGAAGACTCGCGCAAGGGTAAGTCTCTCTAGATTCTCTGCAATGTTCTTCATTGTTCTTCGTGTCCTTCGAAGCGTTCTTCGTCGAAAAGTCACCGATTTGGACAAATGATTCAATATTGGTTGACGAACCGATGGAGTTAACGTTCTTCGTCGTATGTCCGAGCCGGAGAAAGGATCAAAGCTCTCAAAGTCATCGAGGAATCCATCAAAACCAAGGAAGAGCCTCCAAAGTCGCTCCCAAAGCTTCAAGATGTTCGTCGCGTTCTTCATAAAAGGCGCAAACCATGCCCTCTTCGATCCAAAAGTCAAAGGGACACGCCGCCAAAAGCGTTATGGAGCACCAAATCCCTCCCTCAAGGATCAAATTCCGTCGGATCATCCAAATGAGGCATCAATCCAAAGTCGACGATCAAAATCACCAACATGGATACCAAAGTCTTTCAAAAGCCGGCGAAGTCAAACCGAAGACCAAAATCCCTTCGGATCAAAGAAGCCACCCAAATTCAAATTGGAAAAATGGATCGACCCAGAGAGAGAATCAAAGGATCCGAATAGAGAATAGGACCCGCATATATTTAAATCATATGTAATTTGTACGATTTTGTGTTTATAAAAATATAACACAATTTTTTTTGTCTACAATATACATCATTTTATAATATTAGTTTACTTACTCTTCTAATTCTACCTATAAAATGAAAAAAATTGATATTAATAATTTATATTATTTTTGTACAAAATTCATAATTATATTTAATATAATACTCCCTCCGTCCCAAAAGAGACGTCTTATTGGGTGTTGACACAAGAATTAAGGAATAATAGTATTTAATTAAAAGTGGTGTATAAAGTAGAATGTAAAAGACTCAAAAGCCTTTGCTTTTTTAAGGATTTTAAAAAGTAGGTTAGAGTAATAATTAAGGGTAGTTTGGAAAAATAGAAATAATTTTGTTATAAAGTGTGGACTACGATTACTAAATAAGGAACAAGACAATTGTTTTAGGACGGACGAAAATGGAAAAACAAGACAATTTTTTTGGGACGGAAGAAGTATAAAATATTACGTAAATATTATAAAAATATTATACATAATATAAACTTTATTATATGTCAATATAATATTAGCACAATAAATATCTATCTATATATATAATTATTCTATCAAATATTTAAAATTGTATATATAAGATACAATTTTTTTGAAATATTAATACTAGTAATAAAAATTTATTTATAGTATTTTATATATTTTAAATACTTACTATGTATAAAGGTTAGGGTTTGTTTGTTTTGTGTTTTAATTTGAAGGAATTTTTTTTTATGTGAAATATAAAAAAAATGTATAGATAATATAAACATCATGAGTATGAGTAAATATACTAATTTCTGTAGAAAAATATGTTGAATTTTTTTCAAAAAAGAAACAAATCCTTGTTCTATAGAAAATAAAATTTACAAAAAAATAAAATTAAATAATTTTTCCTATCAAAGATTTATACTCCCTCCGTCTCATAACAAAGTATCCATTTTTCTATTTTAGTCCGTCCCATAACAAAGTATCCATTTCCTTTTTTAGTAACTGTACTATCTACCTAACATTACAAATGCCCTTACAACTTACAATATATTACACAAATGTCATTACCTTTATAACACACATACTAACAATGTTATTTTAGTCATTTCTTCTTTATTCATACTATATCCTAATATAATACCAATATTTCTAAAACTACGTGCAAAAAGCAAATTGATACTTCTTTTTGGGACGGAGGGAGTATTAAATATACAGGTCACAATTTTGTATAATTTTTTTTTAATCTTTACTAATATTTTTATTTTTTTATTTTAAAATGTGAAAATAATAAATATAAATATAATTTTATTAAAAAAAGTAAATTAATTTTTTAAAAGAACCAATAAAAATAAATAGAGTCAATTTTTTTTTCTTATTCAACAATTCTAATTATAACAACACACCTAAAAAGTAAATATATAAAAAATAAATTATTCAAATACACATCCTAAACATTTATGCATATACCATTTTAACATTTATGCATATACCAGTTTAACATTCATGCATATATCCCACTGATAGAGGTAGTGATCTCACGGAGTGCTTTAATTGTCTTTTTCGTTGGAAAACTGATTGATATCAATTACATTTTAAAATACATGCAGCTATATATAATATTTAAATAACCACCAATTATACATTGACTACCAATATTTGTACCCCGAGGATATTGTTGCATATGTGCACTTAAAATATAACCTAATGTAATTGTTATGTGCATGCAATATAAAGTCATGTGCTCCGCTAAAGTGTATATATGCTCTAGTTATATATGGTTGGAAAAATTGATAATGTTTGGTTCAACATATTCAATTGCTCTTAGTAACCAAAGATAAATTCATCATTATTGTGTTCTCACGACTCCCTGACATGTAAGTAAAGAAAAGAACACATGTTTACTATAGATGGCCAAACAAGTAAGAAATGACGTTGTTAAGTTTGTTGGTTGTTACTCATGCATCACTACTCTAACAAATTGATTATTTCTTAGACATATTGCGTAGTAATCCACACCGTAACACACACAACAATATTTAGTTCACCAAGGCTGAGAGAGGAAGTGTTCTCACCAAGTATACAAATTGGCCCTCTCTATGAAAATGACTAAAATTAACTACACTTGAAGATACCTGATAATATACAAATAATACATAAGAAACCATTATTTATACCTCGCATGTAGGTGTTTGTACCCAAATCACATTCTTATGTACCTACATAAAATATTGACATACCCTAGGGCGGATCTTAACTACTTATAATAATAGTCTCATATGCTTCAGTAAAGAGTATATATGCTCCAATAACATGTGGTTGGAGAAAAATCGTTTTTCGTTCAAAATATTCACTTGTTAACGGTAACTAAGGATGCGTTCATTATCATAGTCTTCCTGTGACACCTCAAATTGTCAGAAAAGGTAAACAACACATATTTATTATGAATGGTTAACCAAGTAAAAAATTACTTAGGTAGGCTGTATGATATATGTACTATTATAGTCCAACCTCAACTAGTAGATGTCTAATAAAATCATAAGTGACTAAATTGAATTATATTGGTTGTTAGAGCACATGATTGCTATCACAAATTAAAAATCTTTAGATTTATTACATATTAATTAACACCGTAGCGCATGCAACAACTTTTGGTCAAGGGCATCTAAGCATAGGGTCTGACTCGGCTAAGAAGGTGAGTATTCTAGAGCAGCTATGTTGTACCTCCAACCTGGTTATATCAGGTACACCAAAACAGTTCAAACCGTTGGTTACGATTAATCAAAATGTCAAACCGAAATCGAACCTTCTGAATGACGATTTCGTTTGTGGTTTAAAAAACTGACGATTACGATTTGAAC